TCCGCGCGACTCGGGGCGCGCCTCCGGTGGGAGCGCCGAGCGCCAGGCGCCGCGAGCCCCCCGGAGCGCCCGGCCGCCGGTTTGCGTTAGCGCAGTTCCGGCGCCGACTTCGCTGGGGGCGGGGAAGGTGACCCCCACACTCGGATCCTCTAGGTCCTAAAGGTAGCAGGATTCCCGAACGCTCCGGGGCTCTTTCAGGCATCTAGGAAGGAGGGCAAGCCCGCTGCGTGACGACCACACCCTCTCGCTCTTCCAGGCGCCAAAAGAAAACCCTGGAATGGGGTTCCCGCGAGCCTCGGGCCGTTTATTCCCTGAGTGGCCTGGCCAGAGAATACCATTAGCTTCTCCCCAAACTTGTAAATCAGCATGCACTTCAGCGGAAGAAGCCTGGCTCCTCCTTAGCAAGCGTTGGAGAGCCAGCCAAGGGTGTGGAGGGGCGTTGTGGTTTGAGGTGGTTGTGGTTTGAGGTCCTTGGAAGAGGGTGGGGGCAGCCTGGCCAGAGGTGAGTTGAGAGGGGACAGGCGCCCGCAGGAGACGAGATGGCCGAAAGGGGAGAGGTTTTCGGGAGGCTGACGCTGTGGAAACTGGATCCCGGCCGGGCTCGGTGGCTCAGCCTGTAATCTCAGCACTTTGGGAGGCCGAGGTGAGTGGATTGCCTGAACCCGCGGGTTCGAGACCTGCCCCATCTCTACAATAAATCAAAAATTAGCCGGGCGTGGTAGCGCGCGCCTGTAGCTACGTGGAAGGCTGAGGCGGAAGGATCGCCGGAGCCCAGGTCGAGGCTGTCGTCGCTGGGAGCGGCCACTGCACTCTCCAGTCTAGGTGACAGAGTGAGACTCCAACTCAAAAATAAAATAAAATAAAATAGAATAAACCGGATGCCTGTGGGAGGAAGAGAAGACCCACCAGCCACCATCATGCTGAGAGACTGGGTAGACAGTGGATGGTGACTCGTCTTGTCCCCTACAGGCTAACCCTGAGTTCTTAGGACCTTCAGGGGACCAGGGGGCCATTGCAGCATTCAGGTGTGAAGACTGATGGGCAACTGGGATACAGGTGTGACCTCTAGGTGAGGAAGGATGGGGTGGGGGCGTCACTGGTGTGCCCTGAAGCTGCAGCTCTTGGGGAAGGCATGAGTTCTGAGGAGGTCAAGAAAGGGGACCACATATTCTGGGCAGAAGGGTCAAGGAAAACCAGGCAGCCATCATCCCAGAAACTAAGAGGGGAGGCAGTTTAAAGGAGCTGGGGAGGGTCGTGGGCTGAGACCCAACATAGCAAGATCTCCTCTTCACAAAAAATTTTTTTAAATAGCTGGGCGTGGTGGTGGGCGCCTGTAGTCCCAGCTTCCCGGGAGGCTGAGGCAGAAGGATCATTTGAGTCCAGGAGTTTGAGACTGTGGTGAGCCATCATCATGCCACTGGACTCTAACCTGGGCAGCCCTCACCTGGGTGAACATGGCTTTTCTTGCTGTGGGCCAGATGGGAGAACCATAGTAGGAGAAAAGCTTAACTTCCTGGGGCGGGGGGAGGGGGTCCCATCATATTACTAAGCAAAGTGGGACCCATGCCCTTCTGGTTCCAGCCACCAGCACAAACCATGGGCCTCCATGCCCTGCGTGCAGAGGGTTCCAAAATACCAGCCCCATCTGTTTAGGAGCCGGCAGTCCACACACTGCCAATCTTACCAATTGCCTCTTTCCCAGCTGGTGGATTTTTTGTTCTTGCCCTCTGCCTTCCCTCCTTCTCACTGGTTTAGCACAAAGTGGCCCCCTGGTGGGGGGGAGGGGTGAGCCAGTAATCTCCGTTGGGGGGGATTGTGTTTGCACAGTGGGGGCTGTAGGTGCACAGTGCAGATGTGCTCAGCCAACCTGTCTTCCTTTTCATTTTTTATTTTAAAGATGTGGGGTACAATTCAGGATTAGGCAGACAATTGGTCATCGTACAGGTAAAGTCTGGGCCTCCCTTTGGTCCCCATTTTGCCTGGTCTGAGATCAGGTACCCTTATGGATGTTGTGTATGTGTGTGTGTGTGTGTGGGGGGGGT